AATTTAAAATAGACACAAGAGATTATGAATTATCATAGTATTGGTAGATTTTTTTATTTTATTTGAAGTAAACATTACGATCAGGAATCTTTTACTTTTCTTATGTGGAAAAAATTGCTCATAAATTGAAAAGGCATTTGGAAAGAGACGGATGGAGAAGAAAATACCATGTTTCTTCTCATGTCTTGATCAATTGGGACTACAGAAAATTTTCAGTTAATTAAATTTCGTGTAGTTCACTCATTTTCTTCGAAAAATGACAATTTGTCTATATATGAAAATATAATGTCTCGCAAAGTTATTCATGAAAATTTGAATAATTGTCTGTAGAAAATTCTAAAAATATCGTGAAAGGAAGTTATTTATAGCTACTTATAACTGAAGGGACAATAAAAAACTTCGCGCAATTTACTTAATTTTTTCCTTGAAATTTGAAAATGAGTTCAATATAAGAAAGAATAAACAAAAATAATTTATAAAAAATATTTTATAATTTTATAAAAACATTATTAACAATATAAAAAATAGGTTAAATTAATTAAGGTTGTGAAAACAAATTGAATTTTTATTTTCGTAATTTTGGCAAAATTAAAGGGAGATCAAGCGTTTTACCCAAAAAACAAAAATTGATGTTAACAATCATATGTCATTTGGTGATGAAAAGAAAAGAAGACTTACAAAATGTGAAGACGTTTTTTGCGTGAGAAAAGGTGAAGACTTTAGAATAAAATAGACCGAAGAGATGAGGGCATATCATAGTGGTAATAAAAAATATTTTATTTTATTTACTTGACACGGCCGAAAGGAATATTTTTATTTTTTATGTGGAAAAAATAGCTCACAAATTGGAATGACATTTGGCAGGAGGGGGATGGAAAAGAAAATTTCATAATTATTGTTGCCTCTTGATCAACGAGTCTATAATACAGTGATTGGAGAAGAAAATTTTCAATTAATTTTCCTAAGATTAAAAATTGTGTGCTATTTTATTTTTAGCTATCATAGTTATCTCTCACAATAATAAATGAAGCATTTATAAGTAATTATATGCGTAAAATTTTTTTGATAATATTTTAAAATACTGTTTATTTAAACTTTTGATATTATTATTTTTTTCTTTTTATTTAATGTCCCTATTTCATCATCAATGAGAATGGGATCGAGACTAGATGACTGGCATCAACCGATCGAGTCTCTATGCACTCCTCTAATACAACATGTATGCAGATGTGTGTGTGTGTGTGTGTTTTTTTTTTTTGGGCCAAAGAACAGAGTCAATTTTATTAATCAAAAAAAAAATAAAATTACAACATCAATAACTGAAGTTAAAAAAACAGTCAAAAAATCGTAAAGGTTATGACCTAAAAGCAAAACTCACCCAAAAAAAAAAAAAACCGTAAAAAACAACAACCTTAAGAACATAGACCAACAAGCCTGCAGCATCAAACCCGTTCGGCCCAATCAACCAATAACACTTCTGGCGCCAACGTCAGAACCAAAATTTCCACAAAACAAAGCATCATTCAACAAAAAATTGGCAAGATGGAATGGGGAGGGTAACCTCTTCACTTCTTTCTCTCCATTTTCCTCCACTTCCTTCATCTCAACTATTTATTAATTTTATAATTTTAAAAAATTTATTTAATAAAATAATATGTGTGGTTGAAATGAGAGAAGTGATGGAAAATGAAGAGAAATAAGTGAAGAGACCCTTGGTCCGATGGAATGGGGGTGTTGTGAACGGGTGTGTGAAAATATATTTTGTGACACCATTTAAATATATTATTCATTTAAATTATTATATAATTATTTTATAATATATATATATATATATATAATTAATGAGCACACTAAATTTTTACTCAAAAATATATAAAAGGCCTCATACATTTATACACCGACATAAGGTTAAATATTAATCGGAGACAAATTTATTTTATAGATACCAATAAAAATGTGAAGATTTGCCAAAAGAAGATTCTATGTGTAACACTCATATTGATCAGTGAAGATTGTGAAGGGAAGTGATTTGTCGTTATTATGTATGTGTTTGAAAAAAAAAATGTTTCGAATATATATGATACATAATATCCAACAAAATTTAATAAAATGAAATGAGGTCATTCAAGTGAGAAATATTGCTCAATTTGTGAGATGATTAGCAGTTTTTTTATCTCTTCTTAAAAATTATTTTCTGTTTTTAAAAACACAAAAAAAAAACTGATTTGTGTAAGTTGTTTGAATTTAAATATTTTCAAAACTATTTTTGCTTTTAGCTATATTCATTTTATTCTTTATTTTCAAAGTATAAGAGATTTGATTATTATAAATTACCCTCAACTATGATCAATACTAGTGACCACTACTATTGAGAAATTTTTTAAAATTGTTTTCAACTTAACATCATCAAACATATTTTCTCTTTATTTTGTTTTTAAATTAGTTTATAAAATAGTTTTTAAAAACAAAAAAATGGGAATAAGACCAAACAAGCTTGAAATCTTTAATTCCTATCTTAAAATATTTATTTTAAAATTATTCTACTTTTATTGAAACTATATTAATTATTTACTTTCTTTTATTGATAAAAGCATGTCATAATTATACAGTATTGTTTCTATTTTTTCTATTTGAATAATCAAAATATCTATTGGAATATTGTAAACATTGCACAGAAAGTTAAGATATTATTTGGAGTCAAAAATAACCTTTCGAACTGTAGATCGTGAGAGGGGTAATCTTTTACTTTTCTTGTTTGGAAAAATTTGCCTATAAATTGAGAGTGATAAACTAGGAAACGACACTACACAAAGACTAGTAAAAATCGAAAGACTTAGCTTCCAAACAAATACAGCATTGAGACAAGGAGAAATCATTAGATTATTTAATATGAGATAATAAATTTCATTTTATTTAAATGAGATTTCTTCATAGAAAAAAGTGTGATGGTTGTTGAATATTGGTCAGCCAAATAGTATTGTTATATCGATGACTCTTGTCATGTCTTGATCAATGACTCACTCTACACCTTACTCGAGGGATTAATTTATTAAGTATAGTTCAAACTTATTATTTAATGTAATTTCTTTATAGACATTTGAATAATTTGAAAAAAAAAAATCTCTAAGGTCCAAAACACATTTATGGATTTAACTTTTTGGATCCAATGATGACTTTATTAGAGAAGATTATGAGGACAGATTCATTGTTCTTTTTTGGAAATTTTGCATAAAATAAAAGAATTTATGACTTTATTATTTTAAAAACTAATGGAAGTGGTGATATATATATATATATATATATGTTTGACTGCTAGTTATATCATCACTTTATCTTTATAAATTAACGAATCTTATTAGTGGGTTAGTGTATAAAAATAGAAAATCACTAAAAATAATGTTAAGCCTAATAAGTTTTTTTCTTTATAAATTAAATTAATAAATTTTCCTTGAAAATTCTTATAGCATGTGTTTAATTAGACTAATTTATTAAAGGACCTTTGGTTCTTATTTTTTTTTTAAATTGTTAATCCTTATTTAAGTTTAATTTACTCTTTTAATTCTTTAATGAAATTTCCTGTATTATTTAGTCTTCGTATACAGGATCCATTCAGGAAGTCTATGCATTGTTGATTTTTTATTATTATTATAAATGATAGTAGACATCACTTCATATATGAACTGATAAGAAATATTTACAAGTAAAAAATCTGTGTAAAAGTGTACTTTTACGTAACTCACATAATTTAACAAAATTAATTAATTTTAACAATTATGTCTGAAATTAAATTTATTACTCATTCTCAAAATATACTATGTCTCCAAATGCCTCTTCTACTTTACCTAGAATAAGAAATATAGCATTCTCAAATATGTAAAACATTTAAAAACAATCTCGTCAGAAGAGGCGGGTAAGAGGAGGTGCGGGGGACTCCGATCTATTTTAGTGCCAAAATTTCTCCAAGTGTTCAACTGAGTTTAGCTTGTTTTAGGGAAAGTTTTGAGGTTTCTTAACCATTCAAAAATAAATATAAATTGTATATATACACATTATTAATTTATTGAATTGTTCATTTCGTCAATTAGTATTAAGTCGAAATCAATAGAAAATGTTCAATATTTATATTATATATATTAGTTTATTTTTATTCATTGGAAGAATATTCAAGACATTTTTTATCAATAAAAATATATTATAAATTTAAAATATAAAATATGTAACAAGTCATATTATTCATAAATCTCTCAACAATGCAATTCATTAGATTCTGTTCAGGAAGCATACGCCAGATCTTGTCTCCAAAACTAAATCATGTATCTCTTAACTAATGGCATTACTATACTTTTAAATTTTCTTGAAGTCATCATATATGTCCGAAAACAAATTTATTGGGTCAAAGGTACTCGTTCAAAGGGAAGATTATTCTAATGGAGATAATATTTTACTTTTCTTATTTAGAATTTTTGCAAAAAAGTTTTCGGGGTTAGATGGAAGAAAATGATGGAGATAGAAAAAGCTTCCATGCATACTATAGAGACCCCTACAAACATTATAAATACTAATAAATCTATAAGAGATGTATATATTCATAAAAATCAGTCACCACTCAGAATATTGTGATGGGTTTCTGTAACAATACTTGTGTTTTTATTCTGTTCCGGTTGCTTACCTTACTAATAAATCATTTATACATATGCAAAGCATCTGATCAAGCTCTTTGCATTTCGAGTAAGCAACAAGCCCTTCTTAATTTTAAGCATCGTCTTCATGATCCTTCAAGCAGGTTAGCCTCTTGGTCCAAGGACACAAATTGCTACAATTGGACATCAATTGTTTGCGATGATGTAACTGGCCATATTCTTCAACTTCACCTTAGAACTTCTCCACCTTCTTATTATTATGCTAATGATATGTTAGGGTTTGGAGGTGAAATACATCCTTCAATACTTGATTTGAAACATTTGAGATACTTGGACTAGAGTGGCAATGACTTTGGCCCCATGCAAATTCCAAGTTTCCTTGGCTCAATGAAGAGTTTGACATACCTAAACCTCTCTTATGCGAGATTCAGTGGAAGCATTCCTCACCAAATAGCAAAGCTCTCCAGTTTGATCTATCTTGACCTTGAAAGTAATTCTCTCAATGGAAGCATTCCTCACCAAATAGCAGATATCTCCAATTTGATCCATCTTGACTTTGGAGGTAATTCTTTCACTGGACCCATTCCTCACCAAATTGGGAATCTTTCTGGCCTACTCTATCTTGATCTTGATTGGGGTATTCATTATGAAGACATGGAAAGGATATCATTGTTTCCAGAAAATCTTCAATGGCTTTCATCCCTTTCATCCCTCAAATATCTACAATTAAGTTATGTGAATCTATCTAATGCATTTGATTGGTTGCATGTTTTGCAATCATTTCCCTCATTGACAGAGTTGCACTTGATGTGGTGTACTCTTCATCATCATTTTGATTCAACCATTGTGACTAATTTTACATCTTTGGCAATCCTTGGTCTTCAAGGTTCTTCTAATTTTGGAACTTCTTCCATTCCAAAGTGGATTTTTCAACTTAAAAATTTGGTTTCTCTTGAATTAAGTGATAATTTTTTGCCAGGTTTCATCCCAAATGGCATTCAAAATCTCACTCTCATTGAAGATCTTGATTTATCTTCTAATTTGTTTAATTCTTCTATCCCTGATTGGTTTTATAGTTTGAGCCATCTCAAGTCTCTTAGCATTCGTGACAACAATTTGCATGGAACAATCTCATATGGGTTTGGGAACTTGAATTCTATGGTTACTCTTGATTCGTCATATAATCATCTTGGAGGGCCAATTCCAAGCTCTTTAAGAAATCTTTGTAACTTAAGAAGTGTCTCTTTCTCAAACATGAAATGCAATCAACAAATTTCTGAAATATTGGGAATAATCTCAAGATGTGCTTTAAACACCTTGGAGAGTTTATATTTATCTAGTTGAAAGCTATATGGTCATTTGAAAAACAAATTGGGAGTTTCAAAAATCTTGCTTATCTTGATGCTTATGATAATTCTATTCAAGGTGAAATTCCTGAATCATTAAGAAATTTTACCTCTTTGAATCATCTTTATCTCGATGGCAATCAATTCAATGGGAATCCTTTTGATGCGATACAATCCCTTGTATCATTACAATCACTTGGCATTGGCAACAATCTTTTTCAAGGAGAGGTGCACGAGGAACACCTTGCTAGTTTTGCCAAGCTACATGAATTTTTTGCATCAAGAAACAAACTCATTTTAAAAGTGGGTCCCAATTGGATTCCATCTTTTCAAAAGTTGAAAGTCTTGTACATGGACTCATGGCACTTAGGTCCCTACTTTCCATCATGGGTGCAATCACTCAAGTGTCTTGAGGATTTGTCCATATCCAATAGCAACATCTCTGATTATATTCCCCCATGGGTTTGGGATGCATTTCCCCATGCTTCATATTTTGATTTCTCTAACAATGATATCCATGGAGAGATTTCTGATACATTGAAGAATCCCATCAATATCTCAAGCATTGATCTACGCTCAAATCACTTAAGTGGTCATTTACCACACATTTCACCTTATGTGTATTACTTAGACCTCTCAAGTAACTGGTTTTCTGGATCCATAGACTCCTTGCTATGTCAAAAGATGGAAGAGCCAATGAAGTTAGTGCATCTCAATTTGGCATCAAATAAATTGTCTGGTGCAATACCAGATTGTTGGATGATGTGGAAAAATCTAGTCATTGTGAAGTTTGATGACAACTTTTTTAGTGGAAACTTGCCCACATCCTTGGGATCCTTACCATGGTTGGGCTCCTTACAACTTCAGAACAACTTACTTTCAAGAAATTTTCTTGTTTGTCTAAAGAATAATACTAAATTGGTTCTCTTGGATCTCAGAAAAAATCAATCTTCAGGTATAATTCCTTTGTGGGTAGGACAAATTCTGTTGAATTTGGAAGGTTTTCTCCTAGAATCAAACAATTTTTTTGGTGAGATTCCCAATCAAATATGTTCTTCAAAATTTCTACAAATTTTGAATCTTGCACATAACAACTTGACTGGACAGCTACCAAAATGCATCAACCACTTGAATGCTATGTTGGTAAAGAACAAATCTTCATATATATACTTGAGGAGCTTCAGAAATGACACTTTCTATTCTATATCTGATGTGCTTCTTGATTTGAAAGGAAGAGATTATGAATATAGGTTTGTAGGACTTGTCACAAGTATTGACCCTTCAAGCAACAAACCATCTGGAGAGATACCAAGAGAAATCACAAGCCTCATGGGGCTGATTTTTTTGAACTTGTCCAACAATATTTTGCATGGCCATATTCCTCAAAGTATTGGCAATATGAAATGGTTGGAGACAATGGATCTCTCAAAAAATCAACTTGGTTATGAAATCCCACCAAGCATGTCCAAATTGAATTTCTTGAACAAGTTGAACTTGTCCTACAATAATTTGACTGGGAAAATTCCAACGGGCACCCAGTTGCAAAGTTTTGAGGTGTCTAGTTTTGTGGGCAATTATTTATGTGGTCCTCCACTGCAAAACTATTGCACTGATAATGTCCCTGAACAAGACAACAATGAGAAAGAAGCTCATGAACATAGAATCAATTGGTTTTATGTGAGTATGTCATTGGGATTTGTTTCAGGATTTTGGGTAGTAATTGGTCCTTTGCTGTACAGTACATCTTGGAGGTATAAGTATTTTCAGTCCCTTGATTTTATGTGGTATAAGCTGTAACGTCGGTGGTGTTAAGAAGAAACAAATTGTGGATCGACTTGTGTACTTGTGTCTGTAATTGCATTTTGTTGCTATTGTTTATCTCCAGATGGATTTGTGTCTATACAAAGTTACGTCTCTAATGTATTTTGAGAAAGTTCTACTCCCAGTCATAGTGATGATAGTATGAAAAGTTTTCAGGCTTTACAATAATGTTCTTCTTTCCCATGTCTGCATATTTAGCCACATTTACTTTTTGCTTCATCATCTTTATAAATTGATGCCTGGATCAAGAACATATAATTGTGGAGTAATTAAATAAATGGTTGAACAAAAAGCTACTTTCGGTCTATAGTTTACAGAAACGGACATTCAATATGTTTTGGGCTTTTCTTGGGGCAGACGACTTTTGGGCTTAAATAAAGGAATAATAATATTTTTAGGGCTTCACTTAATTGACAGTGATATTTACAATTGGATCCAAAAGAAATTAGGAAAAATTCAATTAGGTTGGCAAAAATTTCATTGTAATAAGATAAGCCTATTCAGCTTTAGACGAGCCAAAAAATAGCAAAAAATAAAAATAAAAATAAAAAAATAAAAAAGAACAAAAAAGTACATTTGATACTTTAACTTTGCATGAGATGTTATTTTGATATCTTAATTTTATAAAATATCTTAGTTCTCTAATACTAATATCATTAGTTGCATTGACCAAAAAAATGCCGACATTAACTTTAAAATATTGACCAAATATTATTAAATGTTGACATATTAAGTATAAGTTTTTAAAATAATAATGATTGACACAAAAAATTATAATTTGAGACTAATAATGTTAGAGTTAAAAGACTAGAGATATTTTATAAAACTAAGAACCAAAGTAAAATCTTATATAAAATTAGAAGATTAAACGTGCGCTTATAAAAATAAAATGCTAAATAAATGTACTGTAAAAAATGCGAACTATGAATGATTACTAACAAAATAAGGAACAATTGGCATGAAGTTATGATAGTAATTAATATTAAGACTTAGGAAAGGTAAGAAGACTTTACTTTAAAACTTACGATGGTTAAGATGGAGGTAAAGATTCGGTCTCCAGAAAAGTATGATATTTTTATCGTTTTGGCTTACTTTGTTTTGATATTTTGATAAATTCTATTGAATTGCATGATATCAGACCTAACAAATTAAGTTATTTGGGTCGAAGGCCACCTTTTGGATGTGAAGTTGGGAATGAAGAATCTTTTATTTTTATTGTTCAACTTAGGTCTTCTTCTTTCTTGAAGATATAAAAACATGTAAATTACTCAATATAATATATTTGTGAAAATTATAATTTTGAATAATTTTTGGAAAGAAATTCTTTAAGGACAAATACAGATATAGACCGAACCATTGGGTTCAAAATAAAGATGACTTTAATTAACATTGCGTGAAGGTAAATCATTTGTTTTCATTAGAGTGGACTAAAAATAAACTATTTTGTTTGATATTTATCATTTTCATTTCTTGATGACCTCTCCCTAATGTCTAATCAATTTATACTGTCAATAATAATAATAATAATAATTTTTAATTTTTAATTTTTTTAGCCAGAAATATCTTTCTTTTTTCAATTTTGTTGTATATTATTATATATTAATAGAAGACTTCACTTTAAAAAAAGGAAACATGTGATGAGTTATCATAATAAGGTTTTGTGTAGAGCAATCTTAATAAGTTTTTGCAGACAGCACTCGGTATCACTAGTAATTAAATATAGTGACAGTTTACATTATTGTCATGGAAAATACTCCTTTTATTGGTAGGAGCTACATGTTTGGTCTCCAGGAAATAATAATGTCGCACATTTAGTGGACTTCCTTTGTTTTACTAAATTTTGTCCTTGAACTAGACTTAATCCTGTGTGTTGTACAATTTTTTAATTAAGAAAAATGATAAAAGTAATATGGATAACAAAATTTACAAAAACAAACCAATTTAAATAAAAATATTCTGATGTTAAACAAAATGAAATGTAGGCTTGACATATATCAAAAGTTTTTGACGTTAAAGAAAATGTTCTAATCCTGTGTGTTGCATGGGTTTGAGGTCATACAAAGGTAAAAGGAATTTTGTTAATATAATATTAAATTAAAAAATAGAAAAAAAAATTGTAATGAAAGAGGCAATTTTGATTTGTTTTAAAATTTCATTATTTAAGTTAAGTTCAGCCAAAAAAATTATTTAAGTTAATAAAAATGTTAGGGCAAATAAATTTTAATTTTAATTGAATAATATGATAATTGAAGAGGACATAGATTTTCTACATATTGAAAAACATATCTATAATTGTACTAATGAAGCAATTAAAATTTGAAATTTCGGCCAAAAGAATTAAAATATGAAATTCTTTAATTTTTTAGACATGCATAGAATAACTCTATACAGTATACATATTAACCATGGGCACTACTTAGCAAGATAGAGGGCAACAATCATCCATATGCATTGCATGGATGATCAGCAATATAATCTTGGAAGAATATTAATAAAAAGAACTCTGAAATAATTTAGTTATTAGAAATCGTCTACAATCAAATCTTCATCAAGAACAATTCTAATTATTTTATGGTTTTGAAAAAAGTTTTTTAACAAATAAAATTCATTTTTGTTTGTAAATATGAAATTAACCTCCTATTTATGTAAAACAATAAATGAAATTAAACATTATGCATCGATATGAAAAAATAAATGGATAAGAAAAGAATTATTCAAAATTGCGTGCACAGGTGACATAGCCATCCCCATCAAATGCGTCGAAGATCCCTTAAAGAAAAAAAACAATTGCCTCTATTGACAAAAATATATGAAAAATATAACAAATAATTATGTGATACAATACAACAGTAAAACAGGTCTTGAATTCTCATTTTGCATGAGAAACTCAGAAACATGCCCATAGTGCCACTTGAACTCTCCATCACCGTAAACCTTCAAGAGTTCCATAAAAATTCTAAGAACAAACAAAGTCTTCAGGATCATCTGCACTATTACCAGGAAATATCAGTGTACCTTTAGAATTACAAATTTATAATGTCCCAACCCCTAGAAAAAGACTTCAGTGACTTGCATATACGAGACCAAATTTTTCTATTGAGAGAAGATCTTTTCCAATAGCAGAAGGATGCCAAAAAAATTGTAGAACGTTCTTTATTGTGCATTGGGATTTTTAGCTGATCCCCCTCCAACAATGATTTTCTAAGACTTGTTCCCGCAATTCACTTTCAAGTAGTTCGACAACACTTCTATCTCCCCTTAGCAAAATCTATGTCTGAAAGGATAGAATGGCATTTAAACTCAAGATATATTGTCTATTCTAAGCAGAATTCTATGTCAAAAGAATAGTAATGAGAAAATTTGCCCAAGAAATTGAGAGAAAGATAAACATTATTTACAGAAATAGAAGCCCTCTATTCTTGTAGCATGAATGATCTTCCATTTCTTCTCAGTCTTTTCCTTCTACTTTGGTTTCACCAACTATTCCTGAATATATTCGCCAACCCCACTCCACTAAGATTCAATTGATATTATGCGTCTTATTTCAACGATTTGGTTCATTTTATTTAGTTTGCTGCTATGCTAGGCCAAAATTTTTCTTTTTTAAATAACTCAAAAAGTAGACACTATAAACTTCCCAAATGACTCAAAAAGATGAGGCGAGTGGGGGGATGAGGACTATACTGTGATTTATGTACCGAAAACAGGGGTAGTAATGATACTTGGCAGGTTTTGAAGAAATATATCTCCCTCAATCACCTCTCCACAAAACCGAAAGGAAATAATACAGCAGCTATACACATACAGTCAAAACTGTAAACATTAATACTTAGAGAGCCAAAGAATTATTTGCAAAAGAAAAGGGAAAAGGAATATCAACTTTGGCAATGACCAAAATAATATGCACTAATTAAATCACAACAGAAAAACAAATTAAGCAATGACCAAAATAAAGTAAAACAAAAACAAAAAAGATATGCACTGATTGAGTCACAACAGTGACACAAATTTATCCAAGCTGTACCAGTCACCAGATGCTAGCCTTAATATCAATAATCAGAAACCTTTTGGTTGCACAAGCTAGACAACGCCTCCACTTCTTACACTAACCAAATAAGAAACCCTCCTAGAACACCTTGACTCACGAAACTCTCACCTCTTCAATATGCATAGCAAAAGCTTTTTTTTTTTTTTTCAACTTGTGTTAACCAATTGAGAAAAGATCCAATAATTAATTATGCAGAAACATTGAGAACTAATTATCAAATCAATAGCCAATGTTTGTCATTTTCACTTACAATAGCCAGCATGAGACTATGAATCCAAAAGAAGCAAAACAAACTTCAACAATCCCCATTTGCTACTCAATTCCTACATATCCTATACGCCCTTTCTTGTAAGGGTATATATCTTTCTCATGCAACTCTTTCTTTTAGTTGCTCAATTCCTATGCAAAACACATAGAATCAGATCAAAAATATATACATTGATAATAAAAAATTATAGTTCTTACTTGGAATTGCCCCTCGAAACGTTGGGCAATAAATTCATCCCATTGTTCTTGTGAGACTAATGGCCTTATTAATTTGGGAACTTCAGCACTAATGTTTCCAACCAATTTTTTAATGTATTTCATTCTAACGAAATACCGAAATGTCCACATTGCTTTTCCAACTTGTTGAATGACAAATTTCATTCGACTAGCATCAATTTCGAACACTGACTATAAAACAAAGAAATTAATTAGATTTGTAATCAAGTAATTAAAATTAATTATAATGATTATGAGTAAAGTATTTTACATCTACTTGCTCCCAAATATAATTCTTTGTTACTAGACTAACATCATTCTAACTCCTGATTGTAATGGGCACATTTGCCTTTGCCACAACTTCTATGTAGCTGATAAATTTATGTCTGTTAGTCTTGATAGGTTAACCTTTGTAATTCCATTCAAGCTCATATTTTTGTCCAGTAGCCCTTCTCCTATTCACCTCGCTCATCAATGTCAATCCCCTTGTTATTTGATTTGCTTCTTGTTGAATTTGTTGGTTATTCATATCAATGCTAGGATCAGTATTGCTAGGTCCACTAGGAT